ATATATTGAAATTCATTTCTTTTGGAAACATTAAATATGCTGTTTTTAAAAAAACTTTCCAACCTCATTGTCACAATTCTTAAGGAAGTGCACCTGTTACAAAGTAGTACTTCCTGCTACAAATTGGTGACCAACACCAACCTCCTCCAATACAAATTGTAGCACATCATTTGCTACATACTAGTGTGACAAAGATGCACTTAATTGGAATAGTATGTTTCATAATTTACCTGAGTAAATGACCAATAACTTAGTGCATGAGACAACAGACTGTTATGATAAAGGAAGTGGAAAATCATTGCAATTCTAACATGGAGGAATTTTTATAAATATCCATTAATGTTTTATTATGTTTCTTTTTTTAACCTAGAAAGGTATTTTCTCACTTGCATTTATGCTGAACTTATTGTTTTTCCAAGAAAATTGATTGGATAATTAATTGAATTATGAGCTAATTAGATTTCAATCTTGAAATAAGAATCCTTCTAACTAAATGTGCTAGAATGAATCTTCAGGTTAGATGATACTGCAACATTGAATGTTTTAGAGAAGGACATATTTACACTTCTTTGAAGTTAGATTTTCTCTCTTTTATCATTTGCCAAATAAAGAGTAAGATTGTATCTGTAGCTGGATGACCTGTTTGTTTTAACATAGTTAATTATTGAAGAGTTAGCTTTTTCTTATGTTATACATGACACATGGCTTCCTGGGGGCTAACAAGTCAAATGGAGAGAAACAAAACACAAAGGTGAAGAGAGTGAGAGAGAAAAAAAAACAAGGAGAAACTGTGTGCCCTTTTCTTTACATACTGCTTTATACAATGCCATCTAGTGGGTATTAAGAGAAGTCTCTTAGCAGACAAGGTTGCAGAGTAGGACAGGTGGCCATCTTATAATGAGGGATGTCTGTAAGAACAACACCGGAAACCTATTCATGAAATGAACTGACCCAGCCACATGTAAGACGTGGTACACGTGTGAACAGTGCAGGTATAAACAAGATGTTATATTCCGTGCTAATAGGAATATATACAGTGCTGTTCAATAGAAGTGATCTCACCTGATTTTTTTACTAAAAATATTTTTTGTCTATTGTTTTTGGGGTTAAAATAATTTTTAATCTTACTAATATAAAGACCCCTTCCCAATCACCTAGGAAAAAAAGTTTATTCACCCTAAGGTATTCTATTGATAATTATAAATTTGGATATAAATAAGATTCAGGAAAAAATTGACTCAGATATCACATTCTAATGATTAAACTGGTAAATTTAAAGAGCATTTGACAAAATATTGAAAACTATTTTACAATACACTCAGAACAATTATTCTAGAGAATTCTAGAACAGCTTAAATTAAATCTAGAGTATTCCAGAATATTCCAGAAAGCCTCATACAGTATAAAAACAGTTTGAAATAGCCACTTAAGTCAGTAACCAGATCAAAGGGTACAAACACACATCAGAACCACTTAAGGCATCTATTATTGCCCTCTCAAAAGCATGCAAGTCTACAAGAGAAATTGCAGAAATTGCTATTACCTCGCAATTAACTGTCTCTCGAGTGCTTAGGGCACATAATGATGCCACTCCTGCTCCAAGGAAGGAAACAAGGAGCTGAAAGAAAAAGATTGATGATAGAACTGGCAGGGCAATCAAGAGAGAAGTTGCGAAGAATAGGACTATAACTAGCCAAGAAATTGCAGCCAGTCTAAGTGAAGAGCAAGGTGTTAGTCTTGCCTCTTCAACAGTCCATCAGTGGCTGTTAGAACAAGGCTACAAATCTTGTACACGAAGGTTTAAGCCACTAATAAGCAAAGCCAACAAAGCCAAGAGACTTGAATGGGCTCACTATTACAAAAAATTCACCGCAGAAGACTGGAAGAATGTTTTCTTCTCCGATGAAATGAAAGTTGAGCTAAATTCAAAGGATAAGGTGAGTCACTTTTATCGAACAGCACTGTACTTGAAAAACAAGATGGATAAAATAAGTAAAGGTTTATTGCAAAACCAGTACAATGAGAATAAAGGTAACAGTTATGCACAAGGTTGCCACAAGTCAATCCAGTAGTGAGTGTTACTGTTCTTGCATAAGTCTGAGTCGTACTCAACAAATCCCAGCTAGTCTCTGTTGTCAGTTGACTTACAGATACTTATAAGCAGCTACTACCTATAGTGTAGTCACTCAGGGGGGGGTGACAGGTTATTCCATTACATCACAAGGCTAGTGGGAAGCCTAGAAGAGGCAGACAAATTGCAAATGTCACTCAAGCACTCTATATGGTGTCGCTGATAGGATCTTTTTTTAAAAATGCAAAAAATACCAACATTCAAATTGACGACTTTGAAACATGGAGATGAAACCAGCTATGGACCAACAATATTTGAAACTTATGCAACAACTTGTTGAACTACAAAAGGAAAACATTGCACTATGAAAGGAATAACATCGTGGCCAGCCAAACATGTCAGAAAACTGGAACAACCTACAATAGGATGGGAACACAACAGATGGTGACTGGGCAATGTTTATTGACGAATGGACTCATTATAAAGAGATGTGCAAACTAACAGACCCAGCAGTTATCTAGAATGAGCTGAGGATGGCGTGTACCTCAGAGGTGAACAGGCTGCTATTTGACCTAGTGGGGACCTAGACACTGAACTCTGCCACAGAAGAACAACTGTTACAGCAAATGCAGCTTGTCTCAGTCAGGGGGTTGCACAAAGAAGTGCACAGGCAGAACTTTCAATTGATGAGGCAGAAAGTGGGAGAGTCAATCAGGTATTTTTTAGCTCGGTTATGAGTCCTGGTCAAATTTTGTGAGTTTATGGTTACTTGCCCAAACAAAACAAACTGCAGTTGGCAAGTGAATTACTCCAGTGACATGGTAGCAGGACAAATGGTAGCAGGGCTTGCTAATGTTGAATGCCAGAGCAAAATATTGACAGAGGCTACTACCCTCACTAATCTAGAGCAGAAATTCAACAGGTTAGTCAGTCTAGAAATGACAGACAAGTTGACCCTTCATCTCCACAACAGTATACATCTCATTACATTATCCAAAGTGCAAAGGACAAACTGTGAGCAACAGTCCCAGAAAGTCAAGACCTCCCCAACCCCACAGTATACCAAGCCCCGCAGAAGGTGTGGAAAGACTTCAATCTCAATGAATCAATGGGTTGGAAGGGCTACCCAGTGGCTAAGTTGGTATGTTTTAATTGTGGATGAATTGGGTACATGGAGAGGGTGTGCCAGAGACCCAAAATGGGGTTTGCCAACAGATCAACAATGATCATGACAAAACAAGAATCTCATGTTCTTATCCCCAAAGAGCACATGGAGGATCCCAGCAAGATTACCCACCAATTTGGACAAAGTAAACAGTGGAGTAAAGTCAACCCAGCACAACCGAAGGCTGTGCCCCACCTCATTTGGAATGGAAGTAAGTTCTGAGAGGGCCTCCAGATCAATCACCATCCTTCATGATAGAAGTAACGATGATTCCAGAAGCCCATGCTGAATTCTGGTCCACCTCCATGGGACAGACTAACCTTCACACTCACCAAATCTCTGCAGTAGCTGACACTGGGGCACAGGCATGCTCCATTGGACTGCAAACAGAGAAAGTTATTAGATGCCCAGATGAACATCTTGTGCTGAAGTGTCACCAAATCTGGAGCATCACAGAGGACCAGCTATACATAAAAGGCGTAATATTCACATGTATCAGAGTTGGTTCATGAGAAACCTGCTAAACCATATATGAGTTAGAGAATACATCTGAGTTTTACCTAATTCAAATTGACCTTGAAGGCTCTAGGTCTACTACTTCTCAGCTTTGTAACCCCAACTTCACAGCAGAACATGGCAAGCAGCAACAATGGAAATGCCTCGTGGGGATGCTCTCAAAGAATGGTTGTTCCACCTAAGCCAACAAACATCCCAATTACCCCTATGGAGAGCAATAAATTTTATAAAAAGGCATCCAACAACTGGGAAAGAACATCAATAGTGAAGCCAAGAAAATAGCCACTGATCTAAAAATTGTTGATAGGATCCACAAATACCACAAACAACAAGCATTTATCACTGTTAAAAACCACAATGCAAATTTCCAAAACAAACCTCAATATTAATAACTCAACCAAACTAAAAATAATATTGGTAAAATTTGCAAAGACATCCTTGAAAGAGCATGCAGATACACCAAAAATACTCTAGGAATTAATCAGTGACATGTGACAGCAGAAGCCATAGAATGGTTTACTAATATAAAAAGAAGAATGATCCAATTCAATATTTTGGACATTTAGTGATCGATCACCAAGAATCTGCTAATTGCTGCTGTAAATCTAGCAAAAACTTACTGTCCTATTAGGGATTGGAAATAAATTAAATAAAGCAGACACAATAACCTATATTATTACATAATGATTACCCGTGGACCAAAAGAAGTAACCCAGAGTTTAATATTGCAATGGGAACATTTGATTCTGCAGAGGCATGCAAATTAGTTGGAATATTATTATTATTATGGAGACTTAGATTTACTTTCTACATTAAGGACACTGGGCTTTAGAGATGACGGTATAATTATGATGTTTGTTTAATGGCATATCAACACCTTATGGGTCATTTAATGCCAAAATTTAATTTTCTTGGGAGCCTGTGTAATTTTTTCTTATTACAAAAATCTATTGCTGGGTAATTTTCTTTCTTTTACAAAAATCTGTTACTGGTAATTTACTTATTTTTTAAAAATCTATTCCTGGTATTTTTTATTACGAAAATCTATTTTTATACTTTCAAATTTTTGACACCAGTTTGGGGGTTCACTATTTGCCCATAGCTTGAACCCTAACAGGTGCTACCACTCCTGGGCAGGGTAGACCTGGGAACAACAGCAATTAAAAGGTGTTTCCAAACTCCTCAGCCCACCTGATCAGAGGCCTTGCTTCCAGGTGTAGTTTATTGTCATACTCAGAATGAGGGAATATGGTCACATCATGTTGAAGCACTGGTTCCCATTTGATCGCCGAAGTTAAGGAACATCGAGCCTAGTCAATACCTAGATGGGTGACTGCTTGGAAATACCAGGTGTTGCAAAGCTTGGATTTGTGGTGGTGTAATGGATAATGGCTCAAAATTGTTAATCCAAATTCAGTTGGGTTTGGTATATTCACTTACGTGTAAATACCCTTGAGAAAGGCATGAATCCAACTCTTTTCTCCTCAGCAATGGGTTAATTAGTAAAATTTGTATCACTAAACCATTATTGAAACCCTCTTTACAAAAATATGTTAATGAAACCTGATCACCTACAAATTGATTTCTTACGAAGAATACATATGCTATTGATATAAATCTTTTCTAAAAATCTTGTTGGCATTAAATAACACATTGAGATGTTGTTATGTCGTAAAACAAACCAAACCAAACCTAAATGCAGGACAGGCTTGATTTTGATATCTCCAATGTAAATAGAATATTAATAATTCTTATATATCTTAACTTTCATTTCATTGGTATCATTAATGTCATGTGCAGGTAGCTCAGGGCCAGTGCAAGGGAATCATGCACCCTCAATCTACAATACAGATCACCCCACCCCCGATCTATGATATGGGGGCCTCTCAACCTACTACATCTCAATTTTCGTATGGTAATATTCATATAAAATACAAATTTTATTGTAACCTAATTATGTACAATAATGGATCATATGCAATATAGGTGAGAAATTCAAGTTAAAAAAATTAAAAATAAATACAATGTATATAAATACAGATGTCATAGGTCATTCGATCTTAAATAAATCAACAATGTTCTGTGACAATTTTTAACATCAACTTGTGATTTTTCTTGTTAAAAAGTTGAATAATTTTGAATTTGATATTTTCAACATTTAAAACATAGTGATTTTTATATAGTGTTTTTCGAGTCTTAGCATGCGAAAAACAAATTTGCGGATTTTGTCCCCCCCGCCGAATGACGTCAAAATCCTTGAAAATTTCTAATTCCCTAATAGTTGTACTCACTACATAGATGTGGGTAGAAAAATGTTGATGAGATAACCGAGGGTTATAAATCACTGCCTGGTGCCCCTCGGATCGGTCGCGAGCTAGTACACAACTACCCTGACGTTACGGTTAGCTGGATCCATTTCTTCAGCCTTGGGTAACAGCCAGTCTAGCAGAACAACACTGAATTCAAAAGTGTGGAGAAAGCAACAGGAAACCATTCCACTAACAAGAAGTCAGTCTGTCAGTTCATAGGAATTGTGGAGAGACGTGTTATTGTTCACCTCCTGAAAGGACATATCATTAAAAAAAATAATAAGTCATTATTTTTTTAGAAGTCTCACAATTGTCATTACTCAATAAGTTTGAATTTCGCACAAAAAGTACAACTAAAAACAATCAAAGTTTATGCTGAATATTGATAATTGTCCTTCTGTGCCCCCATATCGCAGACAACTACCCTTCATTCAAGTTGTCGTTACTACTCTGGTGGAAGAAGTCCAACTTTCTTTTTTTTGTGAGAAGGCACTTGCCGTCCATCAACTTAACTGTCGTTGATGAGGACAAATTCGACACATGTTGACAGTTTGACAACTTGCTGCCGGTAGATTTAAACGTCTTCCTCGCAGGTAAGATTTTAAAAAATACATAATAGTACTAACTCCGAATTATTTTCTTACTATTGCTAGAGGTAATTAAATTGTTGGCATGTACGCGCTCTGTTTTTCGAATCTTCCTGTTGTTAAACTTTGTAACTTTCTTTTGTTTAATTCTTGAAGTTCACATTGCAGAGACTACATTTTGGATTTTAACATTAATAATTTCAATTTTGTATTTAAATAAAAATAGATCGAAAAAAGTGAAACCAAAAGAATAAACAATTGCTTTTACTTTTAGTTTTATTTTATTCATTCATATTGTGTTAGTTCGCAATTTTTTTTTCTATCTATATTTAATTAAATGCACCTTCAGTTTGTGTGGTTTGAATTATTTAAAATATTCACCTGTCTGTAGTTCTCTTTTAATTTGCTTATTTTATTAAGCTGAAGCAGTAACGGCAAAAAAATAGGTGTAAAAAAAATTCATTTGAATGATATCGATTTTCCTCAAATTTCTCAAAAAGTACATCTGTTGTTGTCTTTAAACACATGGTAATTACTTTAATGATTTTTAAAAGAACTTAGTAATTGGTAGATAAGATCTAGCTAGTTTTATGGTTCCCACAGTTTCGAGATTGGTCACTTTTTTAAACTTATGCGATGTGAGGTTTTACTTTTTTTATCTCATTCGAAATTTCAAAGTTTTAACAAAACAAAATACAATTTTTTTTTTTTTTCCTTAGTTTTCTGATTTTTTTTTTTTTTTTTTTTGGTGTCTTTTTTTTAAAAAATGATATCGAGACCTCGATACTTTGAAGTTGACACATTCATCTTTTCTTTTTTTTAATTTTGTCACCTGTAACTTCGTGTATATGTGTAAGTGCTCCTGTTTGTTTTAATTTTGCTTATCGAAACGGAATTAAACCGACAATTAATAAAACTGTTAAAAAGAATGAATTTTTAAATTAAACTGGTTTACTTTATTTTGTCTTTTTCCTTAAAAGAGAAAACTACAAAAAAAAAAAATGAACAGATATAAATTCATCACCAAAATTTCTGCTGGAAAGTGTTTTTCTTCTTCAGTAGTTTTCTTGAGTCTCCTTCCCTATTCTCATGAATGCTATCACTTTCAATGCTTATTGTTATCAAAACAATTTTTTTCTAAAAAAAAAAAAAAAAAAAAGAGAAAAAGTCTTAGTTTTTAATGTTAATTTATTCCTACTCTAAAGCATGTTATTGTTACTGTTTTATTTTCTTTGTTTTGTTTTTGAAGTGTTAATTAATATTTCTACGTTTTCTTTTCAACTTTCGTTTTTTAAGTTATTTTTTAAAGTTAACTTCCGTAATTAGTTAACTAAATTACGGTTAAAAAGAGAGGGAAGTATGTCTTTTAATTCAAAGAAAGAAGGCTTAAAAAATGATTATTCAGGTTTGGCACAAGGTTAGCATAGGAGGCTTGTCGTAGAGCCCTATCATATTCAAAATGATGTAGGTATGACTGTAATAATGGTATAAAAATGTGTGCACTGCGTAGGCGTTTCTTTCTTTTAAACTTTTTGAGTCTTGATACTTGCAGACTAATCGGGATCTGCTCACTCACTTAGTTCTCAGGAGTCTGTGAGTGGTGAAAAAGTTAAAAACGTTTTTAGCATTTTTATAAACACGATTTTTTTAAATTAATAGTAGTGAAAATTCGTAGCTTCCCTTACGAGGATTGTAGTCTTAGAAATAAATAATATGGGAATGGCATGCTGGCTTTTAAATCTTTTTAAATGAAGTAAAAATTTTTTTTTTTTTTTTCTAGGTTATTTTTTAAGATGAAGAATAAATAAAAATACATACATATTTAAATTTAATTTTGGTAGCGGAGTTGGTTGGTTTTAAAAATGTGGAAAGTGTTGACCCAGAAACCTCAAACGGAGCTCTTTTTGTTTTCTTCTTTTTTTTTTTCTTTTTTTTTGGAGGGGGGGTATCTTCATTGAAAGTATTAATTACAATATAAAGAAAAGAAAGTAATAATTAATTAGTTCTAGTTGATATTCAAACTATCAATGTTGCTTTTTATTCCCTGAAGGGAAAAATAATTACTTATTCAAACTAATGTTACGTTTTTCTTTTTAGTTTTAAATTTACTGAAGAGTGGCTGAAGTAAGTTTGTTAGCTAACTTTAATTTTAAGGAAACGTGGCCCAATCTGGGTTAATGTTTTTTGCGAAACCGATTACGTTTTTTCCTTTCCAGTATTTCATTGGTGAAATGAAATTACGACGTGGTTTTACTTGAGTACCTCTGGAGACAAGTTTGAGGATAAATTGAAATTTTTTTGCATCCTTTGGTAAAAAAAATGCAGAATAACGGCCCCCTTGTGCGCACATACAAAAGATAAATAAATAAAAGACTAAAAAAATGGGTCTGTTTCATTGATTATTTTAATTGTGACACATTTTGAAATTTCCTTGTTAAACTAAAGGTATATTTCTCAATTGTTTTAAAACGTAATCACTGAAGAACAAAAATTCAGAATTGTCTAGAAGAATAAATGATTTTAAAATATTAAAAACATTTAGTAATTAAATAAATGAAAATAAATTTAAAAAATATTATCAACGATTTTTTTCACAATCCAAAAGTCTACAGAATATTAAAAAAAACAAAACAAAAACTAATTAAAAACATTTGAATAAAAGAAACATTGTATTTTTCTTTTCTGGTTCAGGGCATTATTTTTTTTAAAGCCTGAAATTAAATTTTCAATTGATTTGATTTCTCTGGAGATTTATCATTTAAAAATGTAAATTAATATGTGTACAAATTATCTTGACTTCAAAAAATTAAAGGCTGGTTAAAATTAACTTTAAATTTCTGAAAATGCTTTGTAGAACAGGCTCCCAATTAAGAAGAGGATGCTTCCCCGATCACTACAATCTTAACCTGTTGAAATCTAGAATTGACTATTATCTTCCCCACATGTCTGCATAAAGTGTACCTCTTACTCTGTAACCCTCTACCTTGAGTAGCTCCCGAGCCTTGTACAGGGTGAACTTCATTGTAGAAAAAAAAAAAAAATTTTTTTTAAAAATTCCCTTTTCATAAATTAACTCATAAGTAAATATCCAAAATATATATGCACAAAGTTGCAGGTGGAGATTGGTATTCTGTATTTTTCCATTTTGAAACTGAAAAGTTTCACCCATTATAAAAACGACTATTATTGAGTAACTGATGATGTGGGTTGCTGTAATCCACAACTGATATACTCAAAAAGGCAATATTTGAAGAGGTGCAGATATTAAAATTTAGAAAAATAATAGCTCATGTTAAAAATTAACCTTTGTGTGCCTATTGTAACTTGTGAGGTGAAAGGCTAAACTAAGCATCTAGTCAAGTTTAGTTATCCAACATATATTTTAGTTTAAATTAGGCAATGTCACATGATATCCTGCATTTGATTTTAGTTTTCAAAAAATAATCATACAATCTACTTCTTGAAACATACTTTTCGTTTCTCATTCACTTTCCCTGTCACCTGGGGCTGTAGAATGTACCAACTGCATTTCTACAGAGAGGTAAGATTCCCCCCCCCCAATTCCTGTCCAATGAGACCACCTGTGGGTGGTGACATGTAATGCCTGAGGTTGGAAATGTGGTGGTTGAGCAATCCATAACCCAGGTGTATAAGTGGTCATGTGACGGGTAACACTTCTTCTCTTTGGTCCTTACTTGGGTTAGATTAGTGGTTACAGTGGTCTGATCTGATCAATCAGCTGGTCATGCCAGGCCCTAACACTTATATAATCAATCACATAATACTGTGATCTCGTAAACTGATCACATGATGATCTAACACCCAACCCTTTGTTATTTTAAAAGTGTTAGAATGGTGGTGAGTCGAGAAAAAAAAAATAGACTTTGACCACTGTTTCATATGAAAACATCGGTTTCTTTTTGTTTCGTTTTTTTTTTTTTTTTACTGAAGCACAAAATTAACAGGGGGGCTCAAAGTGCACGGGTCGCTATATCCCCATCTCAATCAAGGTGAATGGTAAATTCTCAATAGAAATTGAACTATGTGGTGAATCACAGGACCAATGAAATGGGGGGGAACACATGGCAAACTCAAACAAAAATCCCAAATGGAATCTTTCTGACTCTTATTCAGAAATAGAAGCTGAAACTGAATTCTCTAGATTCAAACCATCTGGTCAATTTATCCCCCATTCTTGATAGAAAAAAAAAACAATTATCAGCAGGCCAAATCCTTGAAAAGTGAAAAAAAAATGAGAAATAGCAATCTACATGTATGTATGTATGTATGTATAGCTTGCCACTTGTATTCGAGGATACCCGTCTACTAGGATGGCTAGTCAATCCCTATTGCAGACGCTTGCTCAGGCATGTTTGTGTTTGTTCAACAACCACAGAGCCCATCTGTGGTTTATACTGCAACTGTGCTGAGCAGACCTTAGTTACAGTTTCTGGGAAAGAGTGTGTTATCTAGCGTGATCAACAATTTGAACAAGGCCAGCATTCCCAATCCCTTGATCACGATGACTTGTGACTTTGTGCTAGCATAGCTATCAACAGCACCCAAGGGTTCCATCTACCCAATTTCACTCCCAAGTCTTGGGTCAACCCGTGGTATAGTTTTCAGGCACTTTCCAAACGTGCCGCATGCTGGGATTGACCCTCTCCAGTCCGATATCAGGAAGTCTCCTTCCTGACAAATCGACCACGTGAGATTCAAACCCAGGTCTCATATTCTGGATGCAGATGTTCTAACCATTTGGCCATGTGCCCATAATCTACATGTAAATGTCAACAATAAAAAACACGCAGAAAATGAAATCTTTCCACAATTAACATGTAAAGCTTACTCACATGAAAGATTTAACACCTCAAAAAGAGCTCTTAGAAAGAGCTGTCTCTGGCTATAGCAGAGGAAATAAATGCAGCCTTAGGAAAGCAAGGGTGTCACTGACTATAGAAGGATAAGCATAACAAGAGGTGATCAATAAATACAAACACATACAT